TTCCTAGATTCCTTACCACTGAGGAGTAAAGGAATAACAAGTGTAACCTGAGAGTTTTACATTTTTGTTTTGGAAACATTCCTGTAAGGCACGAACAATGTTATTCATAAATCCTCAAGACAAACACATCACTACAGCCCTATAATTTTCTCTCTGTATTAAAAATTTGTGCCAACAAAACCAAACTTCCTGCTTTTTTTGCAAAGCATGACTCACAGTTTCCATTCTGTTTTGACTGACTGACTGACATAAGAGATCTATTTCCATCGTATGACAATCACTTTCAATCTGACCAGCCATTTATGTGGAAATCAAAGCCTGCTCTTGCAGGATGGATGGATGGATGTTAAAAGGGGAGGTGTTTCACATAACTCCACTGATGATCTGCCTGCTTTTCTTGAAGAACTTGCTCTCAGAGCTGTGAGGCACAGGAGGGAAAGCCCAACATGCCACCTCGTGGCTGCTGGTACCAAGGGCCGTTTGTAATTCCCTGCAAAATGGTCACCGATAGACCCTGACTTTTTTCCTAGGAGAATTCAGACCATCAGAAAGCTGCAGATGTTGTAATTAGTATACTAGCACCCCTGCAGAATAAAACAAACCCATTATTCATCCACCCGATCAAACCAGAGACAAGTAGGTATTATTCAGAAGAAATGCCACTGAACTGGAGTTTGCAGGATAAAAAAAATCAGGTAGCATGACTGTAACAGCTGGCACGAGAGGCTGGGAGAGCCACTGCTAACCAGAGAGTTTATCTACAAAGATGAATTTGAAATGCAATTTCAACTTGGTTTCTCCAGTGTGTTGATGAAGTTTTACCTCCATAGGTCTTCCTTTTTCGCTGTTTCATGCCTTAATAAATGAGAGAGACATTCAGTTTGTTGGATAAACACATCTGACACCCAGAGACTGCCATGCCTTCACTAGCATTTCACTCTGGCCAGCATGCACTTTTGCAACAGCTTTAAGCTGGGCTAGGTCTCCCACAGAAGAAGGTCCTTCCCTCTCCCAATTGGTTGGTCTTGCTGGCTTCCTCAGGCAAGGTCAAGGAAAACTGACTTTGGTTTCGTTGGTTGCTGTACCTTTCAGAAACAAACAAACAAAATGGCTCTCTGCCAGCACATGGAAGTAGCAGGAAAACTTGACAAGTGATGAAGCAGAGGGTGGGAATTCTCCTGTCTGGGCACAGCACTGTCTTAGACCAAAGCAGCTTAAGCCAATTACAAAACTCCCCTTCAGAGACACGTTCTATGTCAAGTTTGGCTGAGCCAGTTTAACCTCACTCGCCTGACAAGAAGAAACAGCTTTTTTTGTTTGTTTTTGGTGGTGGTGTTGTTTTTTTTTTTCCTGGATGGCAAGGTGAATCAGCACAGGATCAGAGAAATGCCAAAGCTAGCATAAAATATGTACCCAGGTTGAGAGTGGGTGGTGGGTGAAGGGAGTAAAGAGCAGGATCTTTCCTTTTTGTCAACAACAAGCTGTTATCACTGCCACCCTGTAATTTCCTAACGTGTAATTTCAGCCTCTGATTCTGAATTCAGTGCCCAGAATCACACAGGCACCCTTACCAGCCTGATGGCTCAAGCTGCTCTGCTCATCAGCGTGGCATTTTGCTGGGGTTCACACCTCGCTGTGACCACTCCTTTTGACAAGCAAAATGTTCAAACAAAGCAGGTTCAATCACCTCCCTCTGTACTGTAGCAGTGAGGCTGAGAGCTGGCTCCCAGAGAGGCTTTGTGGGGCAAACACAGGCTTGTACAAAAGGACTTTGCAGGCAGAGCTGGTTGTTGCTGAAACTTCAATCAAGCCAGTTTCTAAAATGCCCAACGTGCTGGTTTTGTGCACAGGCAGGGCTCAGCACACCAGAACTAAAAAATTGTCCTGCATCCACTGAAACTGCAACTCACCAGCAGATTCACATACATTGCTAATAAAAAGCCCCATTGTCTGTTAGTGGAGATGTTTGCCTTCTTCAAGGCACATGCACTGCAAGATGAGTTTCAGGCCACTGCTGGGAGGACACAAACAGGTTCATGGCCCCATACGTGACTTCTGGACTAACACTCCTCACTCTGGTAAAATCTGAGAGATGCTCACATGTAAGAATTGGTGTAAAACCCCCATGACTGTTTTTCATTTTCAGGCACAGTCAAACATTTAGGATACTGAATGGAATAACCCCAAACCCAGTCAGCTGCCCCTCCAGTTGTACCATTAACGCATTGTGGAAGAACACAATACTCAGGTCTGATTCTTTCCGAAATGTACATGCCACTGGATGTGCATATTTACACTTTCAGAATGGGTGACTTGCAGGAAAGATCACTGCCTGCCAGCAGAAAACACCCAACGATTGTACAGGGTTCACATGCTGCTCTTTATAGCAAGTCACCTGCTCTGTACAGAAAGGTAAGGCCTTACCACACCGAGATAAGCCTGGGGAATGATAATAGAGTCTTTGTTGAAACACCACCCCATTGTTCAAAGACCAGTGTGCCGACCCAGGGAAAACAAAAGGAAACGTTTCTATCCCTTAAAAATCACAGTTAAATCCCAGAGGTTGGTAACAAAACAAGTCAGGTCATGTACAGAATTAAAAAAAATAAATAAATAAAAAAACAATAGTGGCTTTTCTGTTGAGCAAATAATACTAAAAAAAATATTCTCCACTCATTGTGGTCTGACCTTGGAGTGAGTTGTAAGGGGTGAATACTTGCAGTTCTCACCCATCTTGGTGGGACTGTAGCCTGGAGAGAAGCTGAGATGCATGTGTGTGGTCTTCGTGGGGCTCCCAGGGTGGAAAACGCTGGTGCAGAGGAACCCCAGGGGTGATCTGCCTCACTAATGTTTTTCACAAACAGATCATAGAATCATAGAATCTTAGGGGCTGGAAGGGACCTCAAAAGATCATCTAGTCCAACCCCCCTGCCAGAGCAGGGTCACCCAGAGCACATCACACAGGAACGTGTCCAGGTGGGTTTTGAATGTCTCCAGAGAAGGAGACTCCACAGCCTCTCTGGGCAGCCTGTCCCAGGGCTCTGTCACTCTTATAGTAAAAAATTTTTTCGGATATTCATCTTGAACCTCCTATGCTCCAATTTGCACCCGTTACCCCTTGTCCTATCACTGGTCATCACTGAGAAAAGCCTAACTCTGTCCCCCTGACACTCACCCCTTACGTATTTGTAAACATTGATGAGGTCACCCCTCAGATGTCAACCTAGGATAGAGGGGAAAAAATACGGCAAAAACAGGATCTATGCTGACTGGTAGAAAACCTCCATGGGGTTTTATCCAGGCCCTGCTACAGGGTGGGATGAGTGGATGGCGTGGTGAGAGAACCAGCATCTTTCATCACGTCCACCTTCCCACTCGTGACTCTTCTGACCCAGAACCCTTCCCAGCCGGCACGGGGCTCGGCTCACCGGTCCTTGACCCCCCGCCACGCAGAAAAACCTGGGCAAGATCGTGCTACAAAGTGTCAGCGCGGGTCCCAGGACGGCTCTTCCCCCAGGCAGGGTCCGGCAGCCCCCGGAGCTCCCCGGGCAGGGGCTCCCCCTTTCCCCTCCCAGGTGGGAACGCTTCCCATCCCTCAGCGCTCCACGGGAAAGCCTCACCGCCTGCGCGCCCGGCGATAGATCGCGATACGCCCACAGACATCCCCCGGTCGCAAAAAGCCGTCTCGGGGCTGCGGGCGGAGCCGGGCCGGGCACTGTGGGAGCTGTAGTTCGCGGCTGGCAGCACTACAAGTCCCAGCGTCCCGCCAGGGGAGGAGGAGGAGGAGGTGGAGGTGGAGG